TATATATATATATATATATATATACATATATATATATATACATATAATTTAAGAGTTGTAGGAAGAACTTGTATATGTGGTTAGGAATATGAACAGTGTTTCAGGGTCACTTGCGTGTTCTTACCATCATCTATTTTCTCTACCACCTAAGTATGTTGTTATTATAACTCTTTTTAAGTATTCTCTCAAAATAAACTTTCATTCATCCCACACCCAGAAAAGTTTGGAAATTTATATAATATTACAAATATTCTATTATTATACTGCAAAACTTGTGTTCCATTAACAAAACCACTACAATTTAGTTTGTGTAGCTACTTGAACTCTACTCATTGAAAAGTTATGTAATTAAGATAATACAGAAGGTTATAAATCATGAAAAACCACCATAACTTTGTTCGTGTCATTGAAATAAAGTTATATCTATGATTCATTGTCCTATCAGGCTTCGTGATTACCAAAAAAAAATATGATGTTTCAGAACAGTAAGTTTCTCAATTTATTCAACTTTCAATTGCAACAACGAACAAGATGCACAACACTAACAAGTGCTTGTATTACACAGTATATCCAAGGTAAGTAACCATTCTGCTTGATTTAGTACTCTCTCAAAGCTGCAGGAAAGACATACTATCAAAACATAGCAATGTGTTACAAAAATCAATGGTCGCATCTTAAAAGAGAGGTTACGAGTTACAGGTGTGAAATCCAGAATATAAAATGTTTAATTATAAGTCTCATAAAGATATATAAATATATAGCCACAAAACTATTATTTCACTAAAACCAGTTTAATATACTTTCACTATAAAAACCACTTTAGCACCAAGTCTCATGTTAAAAGTACAATTTCAATAAAATCCCAATAAGTTTTAATCATGTAATTAATATATTTTTATTCATATATATGTATATATGAATTATGCACCAAATACACTGACTGCCAGGTGAGAAATCTAATAGATTTCAATTACATAATGTTGAAATTTTATTCATCTTGAGAATGACAGTCATTAGAATGTCATTAAATACTATTGAGCCATTTTGAACCTATAGCCATACATCAGTATTCTTTTAGTTTTCCGATGTACTGATCTATAACATTACTTACTTTTAGACAGTTTGATCTATGTAGTTATTTATCAATTGATCAGTTCTTATTTATTTATGCCAGTTAGAAATTCAAATATAATTTTTTTCAACTGATCAATATTTGTATTCTGTTAACTTTTGGTTGAATCATGATTTTAGTATCTTCAGATATTGTTTCAGTTAATCTATGTCTAAATTCACTATTTGTTACAACTGTAGTTACTTTTAGTTTATGAACCTTTTTAATATCAAGATTATTCTAAACAACAGTGTCAACTGATTAGCCTTAATATCAAACATACATTAAATACTTTTAGATTCTTATATCATGACTTATCTTTGGCTGCATTTAAGTTTTCATCTCCTCACTTCTTTACACATGTATGCCACCATGGTTCATCTATAAATGAAATGGTGCTTACTTTTGTTTTAACCTTGTAATTTTAGTAACACAGTTGAATTTGATTACTGTTTTATGTACTAGCCCCAAAGAAGCTGCAAAATCAAAAACATTGGTTAAATTAAGTTCTCTTATAAATATCTGGAGTGTAAAGGTGTTTTTTCTTCTGACTTTATTATAAAAATGTGTTAACCCCTCCAGTATGCACTACAAATTTTGAAAGACAACTGTAATGGATTCACAATGAGTTAAAACAATTGACACTAACTTCACTCCATTTAGATCAACAAATTTTAGTATTTGACACAAAAGCAACTCTGTAAACTTTCAACAAATCCTTATATATGATAAAAATTGGTACAGCATTTATTTCAGTGTCTAAATTTTTATATCACAGATGATCAAAACATCAGATCATATCTGACTACAGTAACTTGAATTGAAATTGGACATACTTTTACATAAAGCAGAAAATAACAACATGAAATCAACAAGAATGCAAAATTATGTTATTTTTAATCTGGCTAAAGCATTTCAGCATAATTACCATTTCTTAAGGAGAGGTCAAATAGAGGTGAAACATCAGTCTGTAACTCATTCGTCACATGGTTATAGATCACGTAAACATTCATATTTATGGAAACAAACAGAACAATAGATACAAATATCACTAAAAATTACTGAACGACATATATATATATATGTGTGGATGACAAGACAAAAACAATGATCCAGCCATGTATGTAAGAGTTCTTTCACCTAACCTTTAATTTCTCCAGTGGCCAGATTCTGATGTGTGTGTGTGTATCATATACAAAGAAAAAAGTTATATTTTGATAAAATTTTACCACCAAATGAAGTCTAAAATACATGAACACTTCACTACTAGTCTTCACAAAATATTATACAAATTCACCTGTATCAAACTGGCTTCAAGCTGGATGAATGTGCCTTGTACGTCTTCTAATATTACATACCATCACTTTGTAAAATACAATGTGTCTGCTGAAATTCTCTTGTGCGTTTTCGTTACATTCCAGAGTTCAAAGTAAACAGTTTAGCTTAATCACAACCTTTTAGATAAATTTATCTTAAAAAATTAGACATTAATCATTCAAGGCCTGTGGATGGAATGAAAAGTGTCTTTCACTTTTGTCTTTTCTCATTTTCAAAATATATTTTCTTCCTATAATATCCTTCTTCTTTATGTAAATACACCAAAAGATTAAAACTTGGTGAAAACTGTTTACACCAAGTAGAGAACCAACAAGTAGTTTTGTTGTTCTCTTGTTATTCATTTCTTTCCAATGAATTAAAAAATTATATTTTTATGTTATTTGAGAGCATTCACAATTTTATGAGAAAAATACACAATGTTCATGACCCAAATGTATCAGTTTGATACACAAAATTCAATGGCTCCTCACAGACTGTAGAAGAGCCCAGAGAAAAACTGAACAATGAGCCAAAACTAACAAGGATAAATTACTACCAACAGATGACCAAAGATTCAGAAAATGTACTGATCAGAGATTTCTTACTCAACACAGTAAAGCTCTTGAAGAGTGACTAACATTTCATGTAAAAAGAAAAAGATAATAATTCATCATTTGCTAATATTTCAATAATAATGATCATTGGTCATTTAAAGTTATGTCCTAGAAATTCTGTCTTCAAAAACCAAAAATACTAATCCAAGCTTAAGATGTTTTTTTACAAAACACGACTTTTAGTCACTCCAAAACATCCCAGATTTCAGCCAGAAAGGGTGGTAGTTTTTTGTTTTGAACCTTAAGTGAGAAACACATTTCAGAGTTCATGTTTCCCAGAGTTCTGAGTTCAGTCAGTACTGCCAACAGTTTGGCAAAATAATTTCTTCCTGGGGGTCGGTGGTTTTCAACATAAGCCTGCAGTGTATCCAAATAAAATTCTTGAATCTTCTCAACTTTTTTGGGTTCTACAAGGCTTGGTCTTTCTAACATAAGCATGGAAAAGATTTAGACAAGTTAGTCAAGTATCTTATAAGTTAACCAAACAACATAATGCTGAGTTTTACTGTAAAATAGGAGACAACTGCCTATTAGAAAAACACTTATAGAAATATATTGGTGACTATACAAACTAATTATGCAGCTTAAGTATAGAGCTGCATAATTAGATCACATAGCCACCAATATATTTCTCAAAGTGTTTCTCTAATAGGCAGTTGCCACCCAGTTCACAGTCAATGCAATAGGGATACTCTGTCTAAACAATTTATCAAAAACAACTTAATGATTTTTTAAGAAAAGAGCATTTACTATGTAATGTTAGCACTATCTATAGAAAAAGTAATGGAGAGATACATCATCTGAGACAATACAATCTGACATCACACTAGCAGCCAAATGAATATATAACTACTGAGATGGCTGCCTCTGAATCATTATAACAATATTAAACAAAAGATCAAATCTACTATATAAAGGTGAAAAGCTGTTTGTCTGTCACGCAGATATCTCAGCCATTGCAGTACCGATCGACACAACACATGCACAAAATAAGATGCCGCTTTCTGCCACAACAAGCAACTTTGTATTTTTAAAATTCTGCAAGCTATGTATATATATATATATAAAATGGATGATGCACTACTTTGGGCATATAATTAGAATTGAGGGTAGTCAGGTAAAGACTGTGATGAGTAATAAAATCAAATCGGGTATATTCGCACTCCATGCTTGGTATTGCTGGCACACAAAAATCATTATCTAAAATTTCTAATTATATTTACTTGGTTGTCAAGAAGACACATTGACGCAACATCAATAAATTTTGTCCAGTGGGAACCCTTGACTAAATCATAATAAGATTCACTCCCTTTATCATCACAATTAATAATTTGCAGGGTCATACAGTTGACCAAATAGGAATATGTTTTTGAGAATCAGTTTTTTGCATGTTTCAGTCTATAAGGATTTATCAAGAAGGAAATTTGAACATAACTTAAAAACACACAGAAGTCAAAATGCTAATCAAGCAATACTTAAAGGAAATGACCAAGTATATATAAAAATGTTTTTGTGAAATACTAGAAACAGGATAGTTTATAAAACATTTATTTATATATAATTTGAGAAAAAACATTAATCGTTTCCCATCATATGATGGGCATTCAGCTTGTATAAATAAATAAATAAATAAATATATATATATGTTAGTTTTCAATTATGAATTATCAGTTAGACAGACTTAAATAATTCAATTGATATCGTACAGTATTTCATATTAACAAAATATTTAAAAAATTTTTATATCATAAAACTAATTTGATACTAATACTACCATTCGTTTGTTTTCCATTCCTAGCATCTTTCCCTCATAAATAATGTAGCTAAACAACAACACTATAAAAATAGTAGATCTGTTGTAAGACTTTAGAATTCTCTGTTTATGTGTGAGTGTGTACAGGTAAATATATATTACGGCCACTTACTTTCCCATAGCAGGCTATAGGTGATGGATGGTAATTTTAGATGCCACTTTCATATATCTGCTCCTAATGTATGCTTTCTAATTCCATTACAAAAGTAAGACTTATGTAAATAGCCCTAATCTGGAAAATGTTGTATAAATCATATTTATGTAGATATTGTAGTTTTTATCTAATTTTATCTGTATGTTCTTTATGTGTGATGCTATTGTTTGAATTTTGAAAAATCCCCCAAGGAAAGGAAACACTGTTATGTAGATTTATTACACTTATCTCAATGTTAAATGAAATATGTATGTTCCATATGTTATTGTTTATTTTAGTAGTATATACATCAACCTAGTCATCACAGGTTTGATTATGATTTCAACACAAGCAAGACCAATAAGAAAGCTGTAAGGCAAATGTCTGAAGAAAAATCCTACATATTACCCCCATCAGGCAAATTTTAGCAATCCATTTTTATTTCTTTCCTTCAATAAGAATCACTATCCTTTCACAACTACTGCAGAAAGTAGAAGAACCCTGACTTGAGCACCCATATCTGTTCCTTACATTCTAATTTCATTTCATACATTTGGCTGGTAATGGAGGTTAAGTTCTGTAGATGGTGTAGATCTCCAACACTGTATGTGTTTGTCCTACTTCTGCAGTTACCTGAGTATGTGATACTATTTATTTATGATCTGGTTGTTTGAAATTCTTTATACCTACGTTTTCTTCTTTAAATATTCTGAAACCAAAGGTAAAATAATTTATTAGTCTAATTTTAAATTATGAAACCAACAGAAAAAGCATTATCCACCACTCTTTTTGTCTCCAAAATAATAACTCTCACAACCTACATTCAGAATCTTTAATTTTTTTTTTAAAGTCAAAATTTTAATAACTGAGACATGAATTTTTTTTTACCACAGACATGAACTATAAAGCAATATACAGTAGTTGTTAATATTTCAGTGTCTTGGTAAACTCTCCCCATTTACTCTGCTGGAAATCCTCGTACCAGATAATACTACAGTGGTATCAGTAGAGGTTTAGATTCCGTATCTCAACTTGACTGTCCACTAAAATTAGTTTTGAATGTTTTTATATTTTATCACACACACACACACAAACATTTGAATTTTGAGACAAAATGTATAATAAAATAAAAAATTTTCTCATAATTTAATTTTTTTTTTTCCTAATATGAAAATTACCTTCTCAAGAATGATACTTTTCTTAACTTTGTTCAAACAGTATGTTACCAAACAACAGATTGGTTTTTGACTCAAAACTTGAATGAACCTCATACAAAACTAACAGATTACCCGAGAAGATGACGATAGCAGTAAGTAAAGCATATTCTGCATTATCCACCTTCATCATACACATGTGACGACAGAAATTAAATAGGGCATCAGCAGAATCTCCAACACTGGCACTACGATAATTTTCTCTGGTGTAAGGCTGGTTGTTGGCAAAGACAATAGAATCTGTTTGGCTGTCATATTTTCTAGCTGTCCTGAGCATCATTACTTCACTGGAACAGGCCTAAACAGTCCATAATATAAATTCAGAGCCAATTTACTTTAAATCAAGCCAAGATTACACGTGTATAGACTGATAGTGTAACAGGTAAAAATACTGTATCTTAAAAGCAGTATAAATAATAATAATAAGTAATAGCAAGTTCAATTTGTTTACATTTCAGATATTAGTGTAAGTATTTTTTGGGTTGAAATATTTTCTGTATTTTCAAACAAGTTATTTCTGTACAAAAGATTAATTTTTTTGTTAACTCCTAAACAAGTTCTAATGTTTAAAAAATCAATTTTTTAAATTGAATCAAAACATTATCCTCTTTTCCTTGGATTAGTAAATTGAATAAAAGTGACTGAAATATGATCTTATTTTTCCACACTCATTACATGAGAGATTAATCAAAGTAACGATGATTTAATTTCTTCATACAGCTAAATTCACTGTAAATTTTCAGTGCCTATACTACTGAAAACATTAGGGTCAACTATTATTATATACAACCAGAAGCTGTAAGAAAGAGTTACTAATTGTAGATAATGAGATGTACCATACCAACAAAAGAAAAAAGAAGAATTATAAAAATATAGACATTTATTTCACTGACAATAGTACATGTTACAGTAAAAGCAACTTTAATGTCAAAAACACTTTAAATAAAAATTTAATTTATTTTATATTTAATTTTTCACATCTAATTAATCAAAACCCAGTTAGTACCATAACATTTGTTTATAACTTTATTCTAATTCAAGCTCATCAAAGGGAAAAAAAAACATGTAAAACTGAAACAACAGAAGTTCATTAAGACCATAATAAAAATAAGCTCTGAAACAGAGGCATAGCCAGAGTATAAAAAAATATGGGTCACCACTCGTTTTTAGTTCTAAAACCATTTGTAACAAGTGCATCAGGAATGGAGAAAGGATTTCAGTATACAGTAGATTATGATCTTGCTTTTTACGTGATTGGCTTATCTTTTTTGTGCTGTTTTCAATTAAGCTCACAGTAATACTGCTTTATATATTTATTCAGCACCTAACGGTTGGCTGGTTTGTTTGATTTAGTTTTAGTTGAAAGAAAATTAATAAGTAATTTTATGACATGCATAGGTTGTTTAATACATTATTTCAGTGACATTCACCTTGTAATGATAATTACCAAATTGTTGAATATAAAATGCAAACATTTGTAAGTTTCAAATGGCAAAATTTGATTATTTACACAAATATCTTGCTTTATTTCATTTTAAGCTCATGGTGAATAATCATCCATGCCTGTGTCACAAATATCTGTTAAAAGACAAAACCTCTACAAGCTGAACTGTGCAGATATCGTTCAAAACTGGTGCCTCAACAGTATAATATGTGATTAGATTTTAAGGCATCGGGCATCATAGACACTATTACAGAGACACCACTGGTAACTATAGTTAACAAGCCTTATGTAGAATCTATTAATATATGCATAACAACCAATAAGATTCACTTTGTCTGCAATGTACTAACTAACTCCAAGGCAAAAAAAATGACAACATAAATTTATTACAGTATGTCGTTTTTAGCTTGTACCTAGACAAAGCTATAATAAGGCATGTATCAGTGCACACTTGTTACAAACATGCATGCATTATTCTCTTTTTAATAGAAAGTGACAAAAATGACATCGTAGAGCATATTTTCAAATAATATGTAAGGAATGCTTTTCCTTACAGGCAACATGGGTCTTTCTTTTTTGTACTTTTCCAAATACGTCAAATCATAGCTAGAAAATATTTTTTTGTCTCTTAAAAAATGTGTGCACCCAGGAACCCAGCCTGTCTACACCTATGGCATGAAGATTCATTTGTAGGATGTGAATAAGTCAAATTCACCCAAAAGAAGAAGCACTCTGAAACAAAAATAATACTATGTTTCAATGACATAACTGAAAACAAAAATGTACAATGGCATGGCATTTCATACTAATGCTATTTGCCTTAGGTCAGCTTTTATGTATTTCAAACATCATTTGAATGTTAAACAGGACAGAAACGTGAAACAATCTGTATAAGAACATCAGCCAATCTCTTCTAGAACTGACTCCGCTTGGAACTATATTGAAGTTGAAACTCTGCTAGGATTTCCCAGAATGCTATGTAAGGCAATGTTTATGACATACTCCATTAACAAGAAGGGAAAATGAGTGTTTAAACTTTTCTATCTTCAACAATCAGGACATCTAACTGTGACTTGCTCAACAGGTTAACCAGCAGCAGGCCAAGTGCCAGGACAAACCTATGAATGTGGTGTGATAAACCCTAAAAGCAGGATTAAGGTGTTCACATAGAAATGTCCGAGTGTTTAAACTTTTCTATCTTCAACAATCAGGACATCTAACTGTGACTTGCTCAACAGGTTAACCAGCAGCAGGCCAAGTGCCAGGACAAACCTATGAATGTGGTGTGATAAACCCTAAAAGCAGGATTAAGGTGTTCACATAGAAATGTCTGAGTACATACATTTATATTGTTATCTCAAAACAAAAAATACATGAACACCTGAGTAAAAATATCTAAATTTTCAAAGGGTTATATACAGCCAATATTTGGATACTACATAGTAAGCTACAGACTTTCAAGTGGTTTTGATATCCACAGTGAGCAAAGCACACATATTCCATTGTATAACTTCACTCTTAACAACAACCATCCAAATGTTGAGTAATTGAATTAAGTAACATATGGAGATATAAGAATATTGAAGTACAATATCTTAACTGAAGATTAAGTTCATAAATCCAATACAACATTGGGTGGAACTTCCAATCCTTTTGTGTCTTGTAATTTGTCCAACAAAACAATTAATTGCTGCTGTGGACACGATCATATTTCTACATTAACTGTGCCATACGCATTCAAGGAAAAAATGTAAACAATGTAGCTGTTAAACCTATCTGAGTCTAATGATCGAAAGCCCACGAAACATGATGAATTTGTCAAACCTTGCTGTTTAATATGTTTTTTTAAATTTTGTGCAAAGCTACACGAGGGGTATCTGCGCTAGCAATCCCTAATTTAGCAGTGTAAGACTAGAGGGAAGGCAGCTAGTCATCACCACTCACCACCAACTCTTGGGCTACTCTTTTACCAATGAATAGTAGGATTGACCGTCACATTATAACACCCCCCCACAGCTGAAAGAGCGAGCATGTTTGCGAGTCGAGCTCCCTAACCACCTGGCCGTGCTGCCCCATTTTTAATTTGTTAACTTTATCTGTTCAACAAACTAGAGTTGGTGGGTCAGGTACCATTTGATTTTTTTTTTTTTTTTTACTTTTTTCAGAAACTTCCTTACAATATTCTGGAAGGTTAATCTATATTTGCATCATTCAAACACTACCTCAAACAGTGACATCTAATGGCCAATTTTGGACTTCATGATTTTAAAAATTAAAGAAATAATTTTCATCCAAACAAATATGTGGTATTGTATAATTTGTATCTTTAGTATTTGTTTTCCATTTTAAAAATTAAATCAGAGTAAAGGCATTCCCTTTTGCCACCTCATCCCCCTTTTTTATAATAAACAGAACAAGTAACATATCCTATTTTGTTCAGTTTAAAACCAAAGAAAGGATTAAACCACAACCAATTTTACCTGTCTACTTTTAATTATAAAATTTAAATCTACCTTAATTTACAAACTATAAAAATTGTTTCTATCTATCTATCTACCTTCAAGAGTGTGATTTGATCTTCTTGTAGCAAGGTGTTGAACCCAGCAACACGTTTAGAAAATTCTACAATTAGCTGCACGGTGAGAATGGTGATTTCTGTTATATGTTGAAACCGCCGCAAACTGTCTTCTTCACTATCACCAGTTGGGAAGGTCTACAGTGAGAGAAATATAATATGATCAAGTCACAACTAACTGGTGTGAGTTACTTTGATAGAAGTGAACAATAACATTAAGAATGTGATGTATGTCTGGTCATTACTTTTCGATGTCATCATGAATGCCTGACTGCAAATGATTAATCAGATGTTCAAAGAAAATCATAAAGATTGTACCCAAAATCTGCTGGATTTTACAGTACTGAACACTAATGCTTTCCAACAAGGTTTACACCTTTGACAGATACAAGACATCAATTCATTGCAACTAAAACCACTACTTTAAGATATAATTAAAACTAATCCAAGTAAGTATTTCTATTCAAGCATGAAACTTTTTTTACAAGACCTGCATAAGAATCCACAGTGATGCATATATTCAAAGACAATTTTTTATGATTTTCTTAAATTTTTAAACCACCCTAGCACTATTAATAATCATGTATGGCCAAACTATATGCAACTAAACTACTGTTTCATAATCAAGAAAATAAGAGCAAGCTTAGACATCGATGCTTAAAGCTTATAACCATTTTATCTAAAAGCACATTACCTTTTTAAACACAGTACTTACAGAAATCTTTTTTAAATCTTCTTCTGATGGAGATTCAAATTCTTCTTGGAATATGACTAGTTTGTTAATAACCTCTTCTTGAGAAGAATCTAAAGGCTTTACCCCTAAATTTTCAATTTTCTCCTCTTTGACAAAGCAACTTCCTTCCTTTGTCGTGCTGTTTGGCTTGTCTTTTTCTCTGCAACCTTTTTTAGATTCCCTCTTTATAGCACACTGGTACTCTGGAACTACACCTTTTAATGAATAATTCACACAGATGTTAGTATATATTAATACACGATATTAAATAAACACAGTCCATTACATCTTAATACTCTTAAAACAGTGTTAAATATATGTTATTTGCATTATATGTTAGCACCAATTACTAGAAAAGCTGTTATTAAACACTATATATACATATCAACAATATTTAACACCTATTAATAATTATAATAAATAACCACAGTTTTGCATATGATAGACAACACATTTTTTAAGTTAAAACAATTACTATTTATTTGGCAGTATACAGAGGGTGCAATTTTGTGGGGAGAGGTGTATCTCCTCCCCCATATTTTGATTTCCAATGCCCTTTTTCTGAAAATTGTAAACATTTGATACTGCAAATCCCATTTTTTTACACAACCTTTATTTTAAGCTAATAATAGTGATGATTAATAATATTTTAAATTGGGTCTGTATCTACTGTATAACCCATTCCATAATTAATTCAGTTCTTTGTTTTGTACCAAGTGCTTGCATAACTGACAAAACACATCTGCGGGTGAAAATGCTAATATAAAATTGATAAACTTCCAACCCAATACAGATATGTAAAATTATAAGTCCCCTGAAATAAATAGGTTTACATATGCTATTTTGCTGTTTATCTGTTTTATTCTCCCACACCACTGGATATATTGAGTATACATTTCAAAAACTATTTTTTATTCAACTCAATTTACATAAATATACACAAGTATGAGTGAACTATTTTTAACATATAATGTTAAATATACAGATATTGAATATGATATTTCTAAACACCTCTTATATAGACTTATACATAAACTACCCAAGAAAATTAAGGAATATGATTTATAGCTAAGATTCAACCAACTGAATAACACAGCTGAAATTATTGTACAAGTTAGGAGCTCCATTTATTAACCAAACATAATTAATCACTTTTATTGGCAACTTATCACTAGCTATAACTCATTGAATGTGAGTATCTTCAAGTTCAAAGCAGTCAGAGACTAATCTATCTGAATGAACTAATCCAAAATATCTAAATTTGTTAAAATGAGACATTTTGCAAAGAGTCTGGGGACCTCCCTGGCATAATGCAATTTTCAGATCTGTGGAGTATACATCTAATGAATCACAAGAAGTCTTTATGGAGGTTCCTGTCATAGTCAGTGCAATGCCAAGCTCTCTAATTACATATGATGAGTTAAAGTACTGATTTACATGATGTCTAAAGAGGTTCCAGAAGCTTCCTATGGAATTTATATTAAGACTTATTCCTAGTCGATTCATGAACAGTATGGATTCTTGTTCAAGTTATCTTGACACTTTGATACCTGGTATTATCGTCTTGAATAAGAACATTGTTTGCAATTACATGACACATTCACATCCATTGTTAGACAGTCAAAGTTCTACTTTGAAACATTACCTAGTGTAATTTGTAACCACATCTTCATTGATTAAGAATGTAATTAACATCTAACAACAGCTGACATTATATGTACAGAATAATGCAAAATATGCATTAAAATTACCTGGAAATGAAACAGATTTGGAAGAACAAAATTAAACAAGAATTTCTGATTTGGTCTCTACAACCACAATAATTTAATTGTGAAATAAACAAAATAATTTAATATAAAAAACATCACACATTCCATTGCATTGATCCCACCATCCACTTCACAATGGTAAGGCTCTAAAGTGACAGGAAAGGAAACTTTACAGGTTGTTCCACGTAATAAACAAATTTAACTACTGAAATGATGAAAGCCCTTTAAAAGGTAAAGCAATTCCCACAAAAATAAAACAAATAAACAAGTGTATTTTATCATTTAAATGCTTCTACATTATTAGGGAATAGCACCTGTAAGGATTACACCAAGGTTAGAAATATTTTCTAAAGGTTTTTTTTCCCTCTACAATCATTCTGAATGAAAGTGACTCTGAAGTAATGTATAATACTTAATAGTTAAAAACTCTCAAAACAGAATAGTTTTTTCACAAACCAACAAAAGTGAGTAGTGTTTCAGCAACATCCATTCTTCAGGGAAATATCTGCAATGTAACTTACCTTGAATTATGTAAAACTTGGGAATTTGTTAATATGATTAATTTCATTAACACTTAATATCTATAATTCTTCATATAAACTCAGAGTTATAAAAATGCAAAATGATAACAGTATTCTCAGATCAGTTAATTCTTGCACACATGCCAAACGTAAGTTTGAACAAGGACATATCTAATCATGTATCTAATTTAAAATCTGAATCTATACAAGAAGGATGATCTGTGTGTCCACTTTTCATATCTACACTTTTTGACCAGTCTCAGCTAAACTTGTTATATACCTTAGTGCACCTGGAGAGTATCAGAGGGGGTTGTCATTTGGATCTGATCCCCCCCCCCCATACATATCACTTCCCATAGGCACCATTGTTTGTTTGCCTTTCACACTTTCAGATTTTATCTTATCTCAACCAAAGTTGGAAGGCACCTTTACAGCCCCTTAATCTGACCTTCCTATGCACCATCCAGGGACCATATGTCATTGTTTAGATCTCTGTCAAACTTCAGAGGCACCCTTAGGGCAACCCAGTGAGTGAAATGTGGAGGGGTCAGCATTTGAAACTGTCCTCCTATTTCACATCCTGAAGACCTTATCTTATGTCTTCCTTGTGCTTTGAACAAGTATATGTCACCTAGTGTCTACTAAATTTGCTCAAATATACACCTTTCACAAGAACATGCCAATTTTTAATCTTCTTTGTATATTATAAATTTCCCAAATGTTTTTGTTTTCAAATTTCCAACATTACAGCTTGTTTCAAATGTTTTGCATTTTTCTTCAGCTTTCATTTCAATTTAGGACCTCATTCCTCTCTATCTCTGTTTTTGTGCGTGCGTCTTAAACTGAACTTTCTATGATTACAAATCTATCTTTCTTCATGCTTACACAATGACTTACATTCTGGCCTCATTCCAACACCGAGACATTTCTTCATTCGACACTCTTGACACTTCCTTCTCATGTACATGTCAATCTCGCAGTTATTTCCATATTTACACTGATAAACAGCATTCTTGTTAATACTTCTTCTGAAGAATCCTATAATATGTAAAGAACAAGCATGATAATTAGAACTCTAGTATCAGGATAATGACATAACATACCCAGTTGTAAATCTATAAAGCTTTTCAACATATGATTTGATAAAATACCTCTGTGCAGTAACGTAGATACTTTGTGATTACTGTTGTAGCTACGTTCAGTAAGTTTAACCAACAGACATAATCAGATGATGTCACTGTTTAGTATAGTTTTATTGGTCTGTATTGTTATGTCCATCAAAAAACTTCCCAATTGTTAGGGACACAAATGCATCTCACTCAGGAGAAACAAATCAGAACCAAAGTGGGATTATCTATCATGTAACAGATATAGTAATCAGCTGCTTGTTGCTTACATGACTTGATTAGCAATAAGAAACCAAGAAAACCATTACAGGCTAGCAAGAATGATTACAAACATTGTGAGGTAGCAATTTCTATTTTATTTTCATTTATGACTTTGTTTATTGTTTACATATCTTCCTTTCTAGCATTTGGTTTAACATAATCCTACTTACCTTAAAACTAGCTCACTTGCCTCCTAGTATCATGATAAACATTAAACGATTGATTTTTACATTAAGACACCAACACAAGGTTACCCTAATGGTGACATATGGGTAGTTCATAAATTAAGTAAAACAAATGTTAAGTAGTTAGTCATGTAACATGTAGTCTCATTATTCGCCTAGACAAAAAGCTTTAAAACTTGAAGTTAGACTTAGAAGGACAAAAGAGGTGTTATGTTAGAAATTTATGAAACTGATATACAAGATATTTGGTTTGTTGAAATATATTACTGCAAATACTCAATCTTCTATTTGTAACTTAACATTACTTCTTTAAAAAAGTATCTAATGTCATTATTGTGAATAATGTTACAAACAAGTTTTTCTTTTGATTCTTTTTTCATGATTAGTTTTATTGCTGTCATTATTTTGTGATTTTGATACTAATAATTGCTTTATATATTTCTTGGATATTGGTGTTTGTATTTAGAGATGAAGTTGTTTACTTACAAAGTCCTAGTCAGGATCTCTTCTATTATTGTTTATTATTTTGTAAAACTTTTATTGTGTTTTATAACTATCCTAAAGTTTTGTATCATGTAGTAATTTTGTGTTTTCATCATACAATATTAGTGTCTAATATTTTTCAACTGCTTTGAAAGAGGTCATAAGTAGTTATCACAGAAAGACAAAACAAAACCTCTTACAGAACTGGCTGAGAACATAGAACAATTCTAATTTATCACCACTAGAAGCATCATAAAATTTTATGGGGACATGGTAAATTCAACAAAGTCATTCCAGATAAAGGCATGTAACTACAGCAAGGTACTACTTTGAAAGATTTGTTTAAATTGCCATGGATGTAGAACCTGAAAAAATCTCTGACAGATGAGGAGAATCTTTAGAACAGCAAATACTAACTTGTCTTCTTGCTCCAAATGTTGTATAAGTGAAGTGGGTGTATTAACCAGCAAAAAAAACTCACTGTTGCAGCTGGCAAGAGCATTATATACATGACTACAATAATAACAAAACAAAAAAAGACAACTAAAGGCTCTACCTGAAGAGTTGTAAGATTTGTCCTGGAAGCTGCTAGAACATACCAAAAAAAAAAACAACACATAGTTTAAGCCATCACCTACCACTTCTAGTGATGAACTACAGGTTACACTGCAAGGCCTCATGTTTACTTCTAGAAATGAATGTGCCATTTGCACTTATTTCTGGTTGTTCTAATGATGATGTTGAGTCTAAACAAATCTGTAAGTCTATTTTTAAAAAATGTATTTAACAATGGGTTTCCCATTTGAAGCTGGCCTATAATTTCATTGTACAGGTCACTGGTTAGGCCACATTTGGAATATTGTGTTCAGTCTTGGGCTCTTTACCTAAGGAAAGACATTGAGTTGTTGGAAATGGTTACCAGAATGGTGCCTGGGATGGAGGAGTTGTCATACAAGGAGATGCTGACATCTCTCAAATTGTTTTCTCTTGAAAAAAGAAGATTTAGGGGGAATCTGATTGAGGTGTTTAAGATTGTAAAGGGAATTGATAGTGTTGATGCTTCATCTTTTTTTCATATTTAACAATGAGAATAGTAGGACTAGGTGACACAAATATAAATTTTGGCAGGGTAGGAGTCATC